GAATTAAGGGTCTTTATACGGTGCTACATCCCTGCCCCTTTTTAAATTTTTTTCTTTTATTTTGAGACAAGGTTTTATTAAGTTGCCCAGTCTGGTTTCAAACTTGGAATAGTCCTGCCTTAGCCTCCCAAAGTGCTGGGATTACAGAGATGTATTCTCAATTATTTTATTTATTTTACCCAAAATAAGGGCACAAATTTTACTCCTACATTTAAAAAAATGTGTGTATTTATCTTTTTTTGAGAGGGGGGGTTACTGGGGATGGAACTCAGGACCTTGTGTGTGTAAGACAGGCACAAGCACCACTGAGCTGAGCTAAATCCCTGGCCCCATATGTATTTTATGATAAGAAAAAAAGCAGTAAACAAAAACTAGAAAACTACTTACCTTTAGAGCACATTAAAGAAAAACAAAATTAGCATGCTTATTGCCAAAATGATGTTTAAGTTCCACTTTAAAAATGTTTCTAGAAGGCAGGGGATTTAGCTCAGTGGTTCTGGCGCCTGCCTCACAAGCACAAGGACCTGAGTTTGATCCCCAGTACCAAAACAAAAAGTTTCTAGAGATAGTCACTAATAATATGTTAATTTTCCAGAATTTAAAAATGTACATCAGGACTTACGTGAGAAACACAGATTTTGCTATAAACCTACTTTTATTACTTCATAGAGCATTAACATCATTTCAGCTTAAGTATACTGAAAATTTAGCATATATATATATATATGTATATATATATGTATATATATATGTATGTATATATGTGTGTGTGTGTTTCCCATTTTTAAAAAATATTATAATTAACATTGGACTGAGCATCCTTGTAGTTCCAACTTGATTGTTTTCTTGTGCTCAAGCAGGGTACTTTGGGTTTGTTTGTTTGTTTGTTTTGTTTGGTACTGGGAATGGATCTCTGGTCCTTGTGCCAGTGGTGGAACCATTGAGCCAAATCGCTGGCCCTTGGAAGGATACTTTGAGTCAAAGGATATGTACATTTGCAATTTTGTTGCACCTTGTCAAGTTGCCCTCCAGAAAGATATTTTTCAGTTTACTACCTCAAATGCCTTGAACATTGTGGACAGTCTCTTCATCTTTGCCAGCCTGGAAGAGGAAAATGGTATCACTTAAATATATATTTATATGTTCATGGCTATAGTTGGACATCTTTACACATACTTATCATTTTACTCTTTTAAGAGTTGCTTCTACTGGGTGTAGTGGCACATGCCTTTAATCCCAGCTACTCAGGAGGCTGATACAGGAGGATTCCAACTTCAAAGCCAGCCTGACCAATTTAGTGAGACCCTGTCTTCAAAAGAAAAAAAAAAAACAATAAAAAGGTCTGTGGCTATAACTTAGTGTGAATACCCTGGGTTCAATCCTCAGTACCACCAAAAAACAAAAGCTGGGTACATATGATGTATGATCAAAATATACAGTGAGTGTTCAAATTTTTAAAAATTTATTACAGTAAGCCAGTCATGGTAGCACATGTTGGAGGAGGCTGAAGCAGGAGGTTTGAGGCTAGCCTAAGCTGCATAGTGGGTTCAAGGCCAGCCAAACTATACAGTGAGACTTTATCTCAAAAAAAAAAAAATTACAGTAAAAGATACATTGCCTTTTATCCACTTCAGAAAACTCCTTTCCCTTCAAACACATTCATTTTATCATTCTCACCTCTTTTGTGTCTGTATAAAGTATGATTCAGTACAGCAAAAATCACTGCTAAGTCCCATAGTAATAGTATGGTGTACCCTCCCCTGCCTAAGGCACTGGATCTGGCCCTGTTACTTCTGACTTTTCAAAAGTCAAAATGAGTATACAGTGCAAATGTAACTCACTCAATTCAGGACATCAGTGCAGCCAGCAGCAGTACAGCAGTACGACTAAAGAAGGGAACGAAGACTTAACAGACTTACAGAACTGTTTCAGAAGTGCTAAGAAAAATAGGATGTGTGTTTGACATTAGGGGGAGTATTTTAAGGAAGATTAATGGCAATCTGTGTATTACTGTCATACATTTTAAACATTCACTGTATTTTTCTGTTGCACCTTGGCAAAGATCTTACTTAGATAAAGATACTTACCAAAGAGTGCTTGATACATGAGGAATACTTGGTTTTTATATGCAATACAGGGCATGTTCTCAAAATTTGGTTTTGATTTTTTCCAACTTTGAAGAAAAATTTTAGTCTTATAGAAAAGTAGAAGATGTTGGGGAAATTCCATAGCACCCTATCATCTCGTTTACCAGTTAATATTTTGCCACATGTATGCATTAGTTTATGTGTATAACTTAGTTATTTAAAGAAAGCTGTAGACCTGACAAACACATTTTTCTGTCAGTGTTTGTGTTTCTCCTTTATAGGTATGTAAGAGATTTTATTATTTGTTTTCATCCCACAAAATGTTATGAAAGGGGTTTAATTTAAAATTGTAACTCTAGACACAATACATTTTAAATTTCTTCTAAGATACTTTTTTGTTTGTTTGGTACCAGATATCCAACTCAAATACCTTGCACTTGTGAGGCAGGCTGTGGAACCACTGAGCTAAATCCCCGACCCCTAAATTTCTTCTAAGAACACCCAAGTGTATATAAAATTCTTATTACAGTAGTATTGTAGTGTAAATTTTCTTTGGAATTACATCTTGTTTTAACTCTACAGAATTTGTGGGAGTTTAGCAGCTTTAACAGATCTTGAAGAATTCTGTCAATAATACAGTTAATCAGAAAACAGTAGGATTAAATGAAGAGTTTCAACCCCATTTGTTGACACTCAGCCTGAGTCATGTTGTTATGGTAATTTTAGAAGTGTTACGGATATAGTACTTGCTGGATTGTGCATTGGTGTCTTGGATAATCAAGATAATTTATTGGTAAAATTTTCCAGGCTTGCTAAGCCAATTCGGCACTGTTAAGTGGGGCCATAAAACAAGGGGATGATTATGGGCAGCAGAAGGGTATATAGTAAAACAGATTTGACTGTGATGGAAATTCAGTATGAATATTTACATGATGTCATTATGCATCTAAGGAGAAAACTGAACTTAGAGTAGGTCTGTTTTTCAAGAAAAAGGCAAAGCTCTTGTGAAGGGAAATGGAGCTGAATGTGTGGCATAGTGGCCTTTCCAAGAGCATTTGATGTCAAATTCAGATTTTTCTGAGTTGGAGTTACTAGGGCAAGAAAATGCCATAAATATATATTTTTAACAATTTATTTAGTTCATATTTAATTTTTTAGTAATTGATGTCCTGAACTCTGTAGGCAAGTGGTTCAACCATATCCTGTAGACATCTGTATTTTAAAATATTATTTCTTGGGCTGGGGATTTAGCTCAGTGGTGCTGTGCCTGCCTTGAAAGCGTAAGTTCCTGAGTTCGATCCCTGATACCAAACAGAAATATATTTCTTTGTTTTCAACATTAGATATTCTTTTTTGTTTGTTTGTTTGTTTGTTTTTGAGACAGGGTCTCACTGTGTAGTTGAGACTGACCTGGATCTCACTGTGTAGCCCAGGTTAGTCTCAAACTCAAAGCAATCCTCCTGCCTCTACTTCCTGAGTGTTTGGATTACAAGCGTGTGCCACCACGCCCGACTCAACATTAAATATTCTTTATTGACTTATCTCACAAATTGTATTCCCAATCACATATGTGCATTCCCCGCATTCTCCCAATAATCTTGTCATATTTTTTGGTTAAATGTTTTATACTATTGCAGTATTATGGCTATGTGAATATAGTTTAGAGCTGAGCCCTGAGAGTGCTGCTGTTGTATTTTCTTTTTAGTGTGGCACCATCCTTTCTTCCCTCATAATTAAATACTACTGGTATTTGAATTTTAAAGGGATTTTAATTGTCTTCATATCTTTCATTACTTCCTTACCTGAAGTCCCCAACAGAATTGTACAATTTCTGTTAATATCACTACCTTTTTTTTTCTGCTGTCTGTCAGCTTTTCCAGTTCTTTTTTTGTTTTGGTACTGGGGTTCAAACTTGGGCCCTTGTGCTTGTGAGGCAGGTGGTGGAACCACTGAGCCAAACCCCTGGCCCTCCAGTTTTAAATTAGTTGCTATTTATCTTTTCCTCTTTCCTTGCCTACTTTCTTGGTTTTATTTCAGTGGGTAAATATCTACATTTTATCTGTTATGTTAAACTAGATGTTCCCAAATGTTACTCACTTTTTTTTGATACCAGGGATTGAACTCAGTTCCTTGCACTTGCGAAGCAGATGTGGGAACCACTGAGCTAAATCTCAGCCCCCCAAATGTTACTCATTTTTATTTCACCAAGGCAGTATTTGAAGGGTGAGTACTGGCTATTGAACTCAGGACCTGCTTGCACTTGCCAGGCAGGTGCAGTGCCACTGAGCTACATCTGGCCTACCAAGGCAATTATATGATGAACTTTTGTGATGGTCTGGTAACATACATAGAAATGTGAGCCAAATGATTATTAAATAGATTTATAGTCCTTTTAACTGTCTTCACCAAAGAGTTAGTTAATAAATCATTGACATCACTAATGTTGAACAGTAAATTTCTACGCTTTGGACCCATCTAATTCAAGTTAATTAGATCAAGACTTGAAGTTCATAGTGATTAAACCCATGTACAACACCAGTGCTTTGTGTGAGACAGCTAATAACTGGTCAGCGGGATCAACATTCAAGATTATCTTAAATAAGTGGTGAGTTGAAAGAAAGTCCTGATTATAGCTCATAAGCCCTACGATGCAATTTTGAGTCTGACAACCAGAATAGCAACAATTAATATGAAAAAATATTGCTATGAGTTTAGGATGAGATAAGAGTAGACCTGGGTTTCCAAAATCTCATGGTAACTTTGAGTGACTTAATGGGTATATAAAGTTCAGATCAACGAAAGTAATAGTTACTGAATTTTATTTTATTTTATTTATTTGTGTTTTTGATACTAGGGATCCAACTCAGGACCTTGTACTTGTGAAGCAGGAGGCAGAACCGCTGAGCTAAATTACTGGCATCTACTGAATTTTTAAACCTCTAGGGAGTTTTAGTTCAAATCCTTAAAAGGAGAGAGTAGTATCTCTTCTGAAAGTCACATGCAGCAGAAAATCTGCACAAATAAGACACTTCGAATTAAACTGTAAAGGCTTGAATTGGACATTGAAGAGGAAGGGCTAGGGAGGGGGAAGAGAGCAGGAGTGAGAGAACAAACAGCAAAGAGGAAGAATCAATACCATATGAAGGCATGGAAGTGTGAAACACAAGAACATCTGAAAAATGGCAGCGCTGAGCGTGGTGGTACATGCCTGTAATCCCAGGGTTGTGGAGGATGAGGGAAGAGGGTAGCAAGTTTGAAGCCAATCTGGGGCACACAATGAGAACTGTCTCAAAAAAAACAACAGAAACAATCTAACATGTGAGTGTTCCTGGGAGCACTTGTGGCCAAGATGCACAGGAGAATTGGTGTTGGGAATAGTCTGGAGAAACAAGCAGAACCTGCTCCTGACTAGCTGTGGACCATGATTCAGATTTTGGTTGTTATTCATCAGGTCACGAAAAACAGGGAATTACGTGTCATACCCCCCACCCCTGGAAAAGGTAAATTAACTGGAGTAATTTTATTTGCACCCCCCCAGGGGGGGGAAGTATTTGTGAATTTTTAAAAAACATGTCATAACCTGTTTTATCCAGGGATGCTCTTATGTAAAGACTCACAGTGGGAATTCCTCCAATTTGTTGAGATGGCAAAAAGCCAAAACAGCAAGGCCTTGTGATTTAAATAATTCTGAGTGTTTCCTTGATTAAAAAGTTGTTCCAGACAGTTTTGGCTCATATTTGTACTGTGAAACTAGAAGTCACTGTATTCCTCTCTAGCAGAGTGTGGCTCTTTTGGGGGCTGTGATACTTGTTAGTCTTTATAAACTACTTCAGGGATGGTATAACTTAACAGATAATTATATTACCTGGATTTGAACATCTAGGTTGTAGCGAAGTTTAGAATAATTCTTTTAGGTGAAGCTTTTGTTTTTGTTTTTGGCTTGTGGCTTTGTGGGGGGCATAAACTATATTGTAACATTATGGGCAAAAACTACGGTGACTACCTATTTTTCCCTGGGTTAGTGACAGTCATTTAATATATATATTAACTGAACTTAGATTTCCAATACTACTTCCTAAGAAAGACTTATTTTTCCTCAACATGCTGCTAAGTGGAATGCAAAGGGAAATTGGTAGATTTATTGTCCTTAGGAAAGGATTTGCACACCCTGAAACCTGAACATATGAATGTGTATACACACGTATTTTGCTAATACGTGTTAATAGTTAATAGTGTGGCCATTTGATGTAGAACATTTTTACTTTCCTACTTGTGGCTCTCTGCAGTAAAGACAGGTCACTTCCTCATGTGTTGTGTTGATGTGCCATATTTTCTTCATTCATCAGTGATTAACATTTGTTTCTATGTGTTAATCCTTTATGTCTCAGAGATTTCATTCTGGTTATGTACTTAAGAGAACGTATACATGAATGTGTCAAGAAATACGTTCAAGAATGTTCCTAACAGCATTGTTCCTCATATCACGTTCAAGAATGTTCCTAACAGCATTGTTCCTCATATCCCAAACTGAAAACGTTCCAAATGTCCATCAGCAGAGCAGAAAAACAAACCGTGGTATATTTATACAATGGAGTATCATATAAAAACAAAATGATGTATAATACTAGTATATGTAACTCCTAGATGTGATTCCAGACACAAAAGAGTGCCTATGTAAAGTTCTACCTGTATGATGATCAGAAGAAGCAAAACTGACCTCCAAGAATAGCAGTCAAAACAGATCACTTTTAGTGGTGATAAGAGAGAACTGTGTGTTGGAAACAGTCACAAGAAAGCCAACTAGCATGCCGAAAATGTTACTTAGAATGATGTTTACATTGGTGTGTATATGGAGATATAAAAATTAATCGAGCACTTAACGTGTGTGTGCTTTCCTGCATGTAAAATAGACCTCAATAAAAAGGAAAACATAAATGCAAAGCACAGTTATCGGAAGAGGCACATCAGTGTGTAAGAGGATTACAGTTTTTTAAAGTTAACATTGTGGGTTAGTGATCTCAACACAGCTCCTCCAGGTTCCTTAGGAGGGGCTGCTTCACAGTCACTGCCTCTAAACAAAGCTGAAAATGATGTGCCAGATTCTTTAGAAAATTGCCCAAGTAACAGTAAAGTAAGATTTGAAAAAAAAGAGATTAACATTGCTCCTAGTTACATAAATACTTTCTTTAGGATGACATAGACTTGAGATACAGGTGCATCAGTAGGATCTACAAGGCTCTCATCATTCTGGCTTTTCCACTCTCAGTTGAGTGCTTAATTTCACTTTTTTTTTTGTACTGGTGATCGAACTCAGGACCTTGCACTTGTGAGGCAGACACAGTGCCACTGAGCTAAACCCTTGGCCCCTTAATTTTACTTATAAATGTTATTTTACTCGATATAATTTCATCGTATCTGTTTCCTTTCAAAAATTATACTACTATCTAGCATTGAGATTTTAATTCTTTTTATTTTTAAGCTGGTGCTCTTGGGGATTGAAGCTGGGCTTTCACACTGAGTTATGTTGTAGCCCTTTTTAATTTTTTTCAGTTGCTTCTTAATTTGCCTACGCAGGCCAGGCCTGGAATTTGGGATTCTCCTGCTTCATTCTCTCAAAATGCTGAGAGTACCTCATGTGCTCCCAAGCCCACAAGCTCTTCATTCCTGTTGGCAGAAACTACTTAGTCTGATAATTAGGGTCAAGTCATTGATAATCATGGTTTTAGTTTTCTAATTGGTTGCTTTACCTTGAACTCTGCTTAATTGTGGCTTCTACCTCCTTTCTTCCCTTTGGCATCTGTCTCTACTCACTGTACCCACTCTGATTCCAGACTTTAAGCTGCTAGGCATATCCTTATGTTTTATTTTATTTTAATTTTATTTTTTACTAACAGATTGATCACAATACCATGTTTGATATTTTAGGGAAGTCATAGAAGCTAATCCATTCACTGTCCTAAACTTTTCATTTCAAAATGAAATAACTGAAACTGCTTTGCAATTTTTAAATTAAATTAAATTTTGTTTCTTTGTTTTTATTTGTTTGTTTTTGAGACAGGGTCTTGTTATGTAGTTCAGGCTGGCCTCAAACTTGTGGTGATCTTTCTCCTTCAGCCTCCCAAGTGGTAGGATTACAGGCATGTGCCACTACAACCAGCTAATTTTTCTTCAATGATGGCCTTTATTCTTTTTTGACCATGATTCACACTGAATAATTAATATTGTGTTCCAGTACACACACATCAGTATCTGTATCTGAAACAAAAGTTCCCTGAAAGTGTTCACACTTATTAAATGTGATGTTCAAGGAATATGTTGTTAGTCAAGATGTTCTTTAAATATTTGAATGTATTTATTTACTTGACATCAAGTAATGGAACATAACATGCAAATTAGAAAATACTTTAGCACTGCCTATGTGTTTATTAATAAACATGTGATATGCCATTACCAGTTGTAGTGAGCAAACTTAAACTACGTCTGCTATTGATCGATAATATCTGAAAAATCTGGGCACATGAAGAAATCCTGCTGTTACCTACTATATGAGATATATTTTTGCATAGTATACTAACACAGTATTGTTAGTAACCATGAAAAAGTTTTCTGGTTTCTTCTTCAATACTGTAGTGCCATAGCCGGGCGTGGTGGCGCACGCCTGTAATCCCAGCACTCAGGAGGCTGAGGCAGGAGGATTGGTGTGTGTTTGAGACCAGTCTGGGTTACATAGTGAGTTCCAGGTCAGTCTCAAGTACATAGTGAGATCCTGTCTCAACCCCCCAATAAACAAACAAACGAACAAATTGTAGTGTCATTTATTATCTTTATCCCTAACCATACTGCCCATTTAAAGAGATGCTCTCTGGGTGGAGGCTATAGGCCAACCTGTTGTCTTCGCCTTCAATAAATATAATAATCTATATAAGTTAGGTAGCAGTGGTTACTTGTTCTGTATGCTAATTGCTTAAGTTCGTTTGGCTGGATTTTTATTTTATTGTTTTACAAGTTCTGAGTAGTAATTTATACACGTGCTGCTTTCACTTTAGGGCAAGAAAATGTGACAGCTGGAGATCTAACTAAACTGGAATCCTGAGACTATGTGTTCCTTTATGTGTGGCTCTGAGAACTGAGATTTGCTGGTTATTTGAAATAATGCTGGGGCTGAGGATTTAGCTCAGTGGTTCTGCCACCTGCCTCACCATGATGCAAGGTCCAGAGTTCGATCCCCAGTACCAAAAAAAAAAGAAAGAAAGAAAGAAATAATGCTGTGTCTCATGAAGCTTACGGTAAATGTTCATAGGTGACTTACTAAAACAGGAAGTTTTCATTCAGAGGGTTTATAGATAGCATCATATCCATAACTGCTGCTTCAAAAAGGCTGAGTTTAAATACAAAGTTCCCAAACTACTATGTAATACAATTTCTTTTCCATTAACATTGAAAGAACCCACAGCAGGAAGTGTGCCCAGAAAGCATTGTGGATTTTGTGCAACATTTAATAAAAGCTTTGAGTGCTTGGGATTGAGCCAGCTCATCGATGGTATTTTCCTGTCCATTAAACTGTTTGCCTTTTTCATGGTTATTGATAACGTTTTTATTTTATTTTAGGCTGAAGTAATTATTCATTTTAAATGGGCATAATTTTAATCCTTAGTCTTTTTTAAGGGCAATAATGGTAATTGAACATAGGAACGCTCTGCCACTGAGCTTCTTCCCCACTTCCCCAGCCCTTTTTGAAAAATGCTTTTATTTTGAAAGAGCTTGGTTAAGTTGCCCAGGCTGGGCTGGAATTTCAGACCTCTTGCTTCATTCTCCCAAAGAGATGGGACTATAGTGTGTAACACTGTGCCCTCAGTCTTTATTATTAAATTCCTTTAGAGGCCGGGTGTGGTGGTACATACCCGTAATCCCAGCACTCAGGAGGCTGAGACAGGGGATCACCTCAAGTTTGAGGCCAGTCTGGGCTACTACATCGTGAGACCCTGTCTCCAAAAATTAAAAAAAAAAATTCTTCCTGAGGAAAACTTCTGAGTCTTGTAGACTTCTGCATGGCTGCTATCACTTCAGTGTAGTATGAACTTGGAGGAAAGCATAATGATAGAATAGGATGATCATTGCTTACTTTCCAGGCTCTTTATTTAGAGCCATCATTTAAATTTTTTTCTTAATATAAATATTAATAAAATATAAATGCCGTTCTGTGAAAAAATAATTTTTCATAACAAAAAGATTAGAGAATAACAATGATAAATACACTTTGTATCATGATCTAAAAAGAATTATATTTTCATTTGTTAATCTATCAGATGATTTCCTAATAATCCTATAACTTTTCTTTTGGCCTAAAACATTTTAAGTATTTACAAAGTATCTTACATTCTATATAATTTTGAACAATTTCTTCCTATTTCACTATATTTATTACTCTTTTTGGTCTTTATTTTCACTTTTAGTTTCTCACACCAGAGAGACAATGGAATAATTTACATGTGTGTTCAAT